GCTTACATGTGAACTAAATTACAGTTAAGAAGCAAAATTTATCAAGTTTTTAAGTTTTAAGTTTTTAAAATTTTTAAAAACCCAATTAAAATTATACAATAAAAACAAAATTCCTCAATATGGAAGTCCGGTTTAGCAAACATAATTGGGACCACCAACTTTGTCATTAACTGAAATGGTTGCTAAGTGAAACTGTGTGCTTATGATCTTTTCTTTGCTTTACTCTGTGAAGTTCATAAATGTAAGGATTGCTCCAAATATTTTTTGTATCACTGCCATGAACAGTAACTAAATGAGACAGTTGCTAAATGAAGACCACCTGTTATTTAAGCATGATAGCCAGAGGAAATATTGTTATTACAGTTGATATCCAATAGCTGGGCCATGTTATAAATATTTTTAGTACAATTTACTTTCATTCTTCTTTTAACTCCCATCATACATACCTAGAGAATGCCCTAATATGAGAACAAATTTGTTGGTAAGCTAATGGAACAATCTATTATAGTGGCAAATCCTTTTCTGTCAGATGACATATTTCTACTTGAACAGTAATAGCTGTATTACGTATCTGCATTAATGGAAAAATACTTGGATTCATTTTCACGTCCCTCCAATTGCACTATGTACCAGTAACCATTTTAATGTGACACGTGCTCACAACATTGTTGTCATTTCATCTCCAGTCCAAAACCAAAGCAGCTTAAAATTGTCTTTAGCTGCTCCGAACTACACTTGTGTTTTCCTTCTTCCTCCAAGAGAATTTTTGCCAGAGAGAGAAACTTGGTTTCTTTGTAGATTATGTAATTGAGGATACATCCAGAAACTTGCATTTCCCCTTTTTCAATGCTTTTCTTTAGGTTGCTATGCACCAGTAGATGTTAAGAAGATCAATTGGCGGTTGTTTTTCCCCATTCATAGATGGGGAAAGGAACAAAACCTGGAAATCCATTAATTGCCTTCTTTCTTTTATCTTTTATCCCAAATGAAAATGGGACACCAATCTCTCTCACCAACCTTGCTATCGAGGCAGAATAGGGCTCAGTAGTGATGGCACCACAATTTAGGACCCAAACTTTTCACAAACTAAGTGAGAACATTTCAGCATGGCTGTGCAGCTCTGCTTCTTGTTAGCCAACACAGTCTAAAGCAAGATCAGAAAACTGATATTCTCTACACATTTTAAATTATAATTTCCAAAATACCTTCTGATTTCTGTGAGGCTTGGACAGATAGAGTTTATAATCAAAAACATTTGAAAGCCCATGATTATCCATCTTTGGGGCACATTATGTCGATTTTTACATATTGTTGTTTTCAGTTTTGCTTGACATCATTTGTCTGTTAGACTCATAAACACAATTTCTCATCCCTCATTCCCTAGATTGTATTTAGATTAGTGTTTGGCATGCATTTTAAACGAAGCTTGTGCAGAACCGAACTTTTAAGAATTAATCAATTGCAGTTCTAGTTGTTTGACAAAATGCATAAATGTCCTGCTGTGACTTATTTGATATTGTCCCAGACATTTCTGCACATTATGAGCACATCCACACATCTCTGGATTTTTGATTTGAAGATACTGTAGTTGGCTAACTGTTTTTACAAGATGCAGCCTTCTTCTCATCCCCAAAATGTAGCTAAGGCCAGCTGACTTTGGATTTTTCTATACTTAGGGTTCAGTGCAGTGATGGGATTCAAATAATTTAACAACCGCTTCTCTGCCGTAATTATTTCTTCCAACAACCAGTTCACCAAACTGCTCAGAAATTTAACAACTGGTTCTCACAAAGTGGTGTAAACTGGCTGAATCCCACCACTGGTTCAGTGGAGTATTCAAAGTCTTCTCAACACAAGCATTTCTATAATTATGATATGTGGTGTGTATGTATAAATCTTTATTACAGTCAAAGACCAGCAATACATATTACTTTTTAAAATATATTAAAAAAGTACTGACATTAAAATATATTTTAAAAGTATTGACATTAAAAGTGGATAATAACCTACATGATCTCAAACTGTTCGGGTCACTCCATGATTTATGTGGATGAAAAGCTGATAAGTATGGGAGTAAATACAATGGTCCAGAAATTGTTAGAGATATGTCCAAATAATTGGTGCAAGATGACAACTATAATTCTGTAATCAATTTTTTTTCTTGTGGACATTGCAGCAACACAGAATTTGGCCACTGCATAAGTGGTAGCCGGGTTTGTGTCCTGGAGGAGAAAGCCTACATAAAAATTGTCTGCCCATCCTGGCAATCTCTTTGAATAGCTCACAGTATAATAGAACATGTGAGATATCTTCAACTTCTCCTTTACCACATATACAAACCCGTTCTGCTATTGGTGTTCTCTTATACCTGCCCTGGAGGTGTGCTGAAGGAAGAATGTTAAATTTGGCTCTGAAGAAAGCTATTCTTTGTTTTGGGAAGATCAGGTCATTTAGATATCTTGCCAATTCCCACACACCCTGCTTGATTCTTTCCCTACTGTGAAGAGGCAACCTATTTAGTTCTTCTTGGAACTCCATGTCCTTCATTTTATTGATTACTACTTGCTTTGCTTGATCAAAGCCTAGGGACATTAACAATACTGGTGAGAGCCCATAAGAGCCCAGCTTGTGATCTATTGCCTGTTTCCAGGGGGAGGGGAAGTTGTCAGTTAACACTAGTGGGGACAGTCCCTCTGGAAAGAAATGCATTTTAAGCCAATGAATGATCATCATCTTCCAGGCTCTTACCTGAATTTGAGGCATGCCTATCTCAATTCTTAACTGGTCATTTGGAGTTCCTTTGGGTGCAGCTAAGATAGCTCGCAGGAATTTGGTTTTTATGATTTCTAGCAAGTCTTTCTTTGCAAGGATTCCTGTTTGTGCCCCATATAGATTTTGCGCCAATGTTTTGGCCTCAAAAAGTTTTAGGCAGCAGGTACTAACTGCCCTCTGCCTGTATAAAAGATGTGTTTAATTGCATTTGAGGACCTATGGGCTGGTTGCAATGTATGATCCAGGTGTGCCTTCCATGTCCCTTGCGAGTGGAAAACCACCCCAAGGTATCTAAATATTCTAATCTGTTTATGTCCTTCTATTTTCCAGGAGTATTAGCTAGATCTTTTAGCAAAAACTAAAATTTTTGATTTATCAAAGTTAAGGACCAGCTTGTTTTGCCTGCAATAGCCAAGTGTTGCCCTAATTGCTCTCTTCAGTCCTATAGGAGTATGCGAAATAATAGCGGCATCATCAGCATATAGGAGAATTGGAATTTTGCGTTGTGCTAGGTTAGGAAGATGGAGATCAGGGTTCTGTAAGAGATCGATCAGGGGATTGAGATAGAAGTTAAAGAGAGAGGGGGGACAGGATGTACCCCTTTTTGTACCCTTACTGGGCCGGTTAAAGTCCCTTGGGGATTGCACCTCACTTTCAAGGTGGAATTGGCGTACAATTTTTGTTTGAGGAAGAGGAGGCGTTTATCAATAGTAGTGCATTCCCAGAGGGTGTTTTTGGATATTGAATCAAAGGCCTGCTTAAAATCAAGGAAGGCCACAAAAAGAGAGGGATTTTTTTTATATTATGAGTATTTTTGTAGTAAATGGTGGAGTACCAAAATATGATCCACCATTGATCTTCCTTCTCTAAAACCGGCTTGTTCATCTTTGATTATGCCCCCTGAAATTAGCCAATCCTGAAGTTTATAGTTTAGGTGTTTGGCATACAGTTTATTAATAATGCTCAGAAGACTAATGGGTATGTGGTGTTTTTGGCAGGATTAGAATTTATAATCTCCCGGTTTCTAATCTGATAGTTTAACCATTACACCAAACTGGCTCTCTAACTAGCCTGTAATGAATACAGACTACAGTACAGCCTGGCAGTTTAAGCAGAACAAATGTATGCTTGCATAGTTTGAGCTGCCTTGCAAAATCAGTGGCTCTGAATTTCTGTGGGAGCTGTTTATCTAATAGAAGGCAACATAGTTGAAAACTGTGATTATTTGTTATTCTCAAATTGTAGTTTAAATGAGATAGAATAAACCATTTTCTTCTATGTTGAGAGGTCCTGTGTATTTTCTAATCCATGTCACTAACTATATTGTGGAACTTCAAAATGGTTGCAGGTCTAAGATCTTCTGGAGACAAGAATGTACTGAAAGAAGATGAGGCACTACAACTGTCCTGTCTATCAGCGCACAGCATAATTTAATAATATGAAGCTATTAGCTACAGTAGAATCATACACACATTTACAATTGTATGGCAAACTTGCAGTTTCATTATGCTAGTTTTACACGGCCAAAAACAGAAAAGCCAGTGTACAGAGCTAGAGAAAGGAACATTTTCGTTCTCTACTTGTTCTGTATAAAGTTCATTCTGAAAAATTGGTAATATCTATATTTAGAGCTCTGAGTGCAGAAGATGTCTTGTATGCCCATAGCAAAATCATGTGTAATATGATTACACAAGTATATTGTTAAACGAACTGAGCAGAATTCACACCTTAAATTAAAATATAAGTGGCTCGTTTGTGACTGAGGGTTGTAATTTAGATATAGCCATTACGGTTCCTTTTAGGTTCAGAGGGTTGCTCAAACCCATGTAATTGGGTTAATTCAATCAGTCGTGCATTAGTGTAAGCCTTGTACTGTTGACCTTTCAAGGTTTTCAGCAAACCGCATCTTTTACTTTGTTTCATTTAAGACAAAGCACTTCAAGGGGGAAAGGAGGGAAATGAATCCCATATCTTCTCAAGTGAGGGGGGGGGCTGTTTCGCTGAACACATTCTGAGGGAAGAGATTGCCTTGAGACAGACTTCACCGCCTTATTTCTCTGCTTCGTGATGCCTGCTGGGAATTGTGGTCTTTCTTTTTGCCAAGGACCGGTTTTCCTTACAGGCGGGGAGCTCAGCTTCAGTTCCCAAGGTCCTCTGCGAGGAGCTGGCGGTGTCTAGTTCTGTTTCCCGGATGTCGCTTTCGCCGGAAGAGAAGCGAGTTTCTGTGGGGGCCGGCCATCTTGTGTGGGCAGCAGAGAAGCACGTAGGGGGTGGGCCGGGGCCTGGGCAGCATCGGAGGAGGATCCCACCCAAAGGGGTCCATCATGCCCGGACACCTGCAGGAAGGCTTCGGTTGCGTCGTCACCAACCGCTTTGACCAGCTCTTGGACGACGAATCCGACCCCTTCGAGGTGATCCAGGCGGCCGAGAGCCGCAAGAAAGAGAGCACTGGTGGGGGCGGCGGCGGCCACCAAGGCAGCCGCGGCGGCGGAGGCGGGCAGGCGGCCCAAACCAATTCATCCTCGGGTGGCGGTTCGAGCCAGGTCGGTTCCGGCGGAGGGAGCGGCAGCGCGGCCAAGCAGCTGCGCAGGGAATCTCAGAAGGAGCGCAAGAACCCGTTGCCGCCCTTCGCCTCCTCGACTGGGCCTGGAGGCGCCGGGGACCGGAGAGAGGATGGAGGCGGGCAGCCTGGCTCCGCGCCTCTCAGGAAGGAAGGTGAGTGGCGGGGCCGCTCCTCTCTTCTGCGGGTGGAAGAGGCGGCGGCGGGAGGCGAGTAGGGCTTCCCACAAGGTCAGTGTTTCCCTATCTGGACGGGCGGAGAGAAATCAGCCCCCCCCCGTCAGTAGCGGGTCTCCCCCCTCCAATTCCACCTAGCACGTGGTGCCAGAGCGGGACCCCCTTCCCCCTTTTTCCCGCTTGCTTGGCCCAAATGCAGCCTTCCAGGAGGAGGCGGAGAGCCCTGCCCGTCTCCCTCACGTGGAGGGCATGGCGGGGCTGCCTTGCCTGCTCCGAGCTCCACCCTGTCCTGAATGGCCCGCTTTCTCGTGTTGACCGGGCCGTCGTGGGAAAGTCGAACCGAGCTCGTGAGGCGACCCCTCCTCCACGTTCTCTACTCGCGCTGTGGGGGGGGGGGAGGGATGGGGGGGCGAATGGATGCAGAAACGTTTCCGAAAGGCGGGCGGGCGCCGATCTGAGGCCGGGGGTTTTCTCCTCGCGGGAAGGGTGGGTGGGTGGAATGGCCCCGGCAAGACTTTGCAAACGCGAGCGTGGGGTGGGGTATGGGGGAGCTCGAAGGGAGAGGGAAAAACTTCCCAATCTTGGAATGCTTGAGAAAGCGGAGGGCAATTCTGGCCTTTGCAAAGTGTAGCAATCCCACCGGTTTGCCCGCGTAGAAGAAGAAGAAGAATCGGCGGAGGAGGCGGTAGTAGCCCGCCTGGACCACGCGGGGGTTTGGGAGGAACGAAGTTGAGTCCATTTGTACCTGGGCCACGTGCATATCCCGCGTGTTGCTGCTTCGCTTGCCTGCTGCCCGCCTACTTCAGGGCCGAACGAATAGACAAAATGGCACTGTGGAGGTGAAATGACTGATTGCCTTGGATTCCGGACTGTTAACTTGTTTTAAAAAAATGTTTTGCCCACGTTGGTGGGTTTTTTTTTTGTTTCCCCCTCCCGTGAAAGCTGATCCAAATTGTTTTGCCTTACTGTATTGATTTGAGTGTATCCTAGAATTGGGGCTTATTTTTAAGGTGAAAGGCAGGATCTGTGGACCATTGTTTAAACATTTTGCAACAGTATGTAAATAAAATAAAATGAGATAAAAGTGTTAAATTCACTGAGCTTTGGACTGAATACAAAACTTTAAAGGAAATAAAAGGTGCTCTTTGAGGGTATTAATTAAATAGTACTACTTATATGATTTTAGCCTTATTTTCTATTAACTCAAGCAGGAGACTGAAAGCATGGTAATATTTTTAATGGCGCCATGCTACACCATGTAATAATGGGAAGAAAATGTATGTAACTTGATTGCTTTAAATCTATCTTGATTACAAAAATGTTTTTGCTTATAGTATATGTTAAATAATCTTAAAGATTATTTGAAAGCTATCAGTCAAGTGTCCTGTATAATGGAGCACAATTGTCATCAGCAGCCAAACAGCAATGGCACTTGCAGAAGAGAAAGTTAAATTAGTACAGGCAATAGGAGTAGGAGGTGATTATGGGATTAGTAATTGAAATAGATTGTTCTTAAATTTATTTAACAGTTTTGTATATTCGAGAGAAATATTTAAATATTCAAATGGTAAAAATGCTCTTCTTGAATAAGACAGTTATTAAAATATTAAATCAAGATTTGTGATGTTTTAAACTTTAACCCTGGGTATTGATGTAGTTCAATGCTTATAGAAATTCCCAGAAGCAAATTTTGTTGTAGTATAGTATTTGAGTATGATAGTATTTGAAATACAGAGATAGTTACAAAATGCTTCGTTTGCAGCATACCTTTATTGCCATCTACTGACTGTCAGGAGTTTTGCAGCTGATATTGGATAGCTGTACATTCTATCTACCATGTGAAAATTTTCATGAGTAAGACAAGGTAGAAAAGTTAGGTTGATAACTTTTTGCAACAATATGGCAGTTCAACATTAGTACTTTTGTAATTGCCTTGATTCAACCTTGCTTGGAGTTTCTGCTTTGTAATTTGAAGAAATAAAATTACATTTGTAATTTAATCTAGATTTTTATGCAAATTCCGTACACTTATGGAGATGTCTATTTTTGGAGAATTTCAGGTCAGTCTACATAAACTTCTAGAGTGACCTGCTTGAATCATACTTGTTTTTAAGTTTGGATTATGATATGTTTTTTCAAAGCTTTGCCTATTTCCACATATAAGAATCTGATAGAAACATATTTTATGGCAATCCATTTTTATTGACCGTAACTATCGTAAAAGGATTATGTTACAAAAACTGTCTTTATTAGATAAAAGTATACATAATGGGGACAATCCTTGTGCATTTCAGTGAAATATAAATAGCCCCTAAATAATTTCACAAAATATTTGTTTAAAAGTAGTTTTTTTCTTTGTATAAATCTTATAGGCATCTCTTCAAATGGTCGAGAAGGCAAAGGAGAGGCTTAAATGTTAAATTATATGGTAACTTTAATAGAATAGATTAGAATAGAATAGAATGGATGAATGTAGGAAAATAAATCTTCTTACTTTTACAATATGTTGTAAATTCCCCTTGATGAATATTGATGTATTTAAGGTTATATACAGATACTTTGCGTATATTTCTGTAGTATGACAATTACAGCATAATTTCTAGGCATTATGGAAAAGAGTACAATATTAATAATACTTGTAATAGAGTAAGTAGCTTCTGCTTAGAAACATCAAATCCAGTCAATGTAACATATGTTCAATAACCTTTTATGGCTTGCTAAAAATTCAATAAGATTGTTCATCAGACAAGCTATTCTAATTGAATCACAGTGTAACTATAATTTAGGCACTTGAAAGAGAGATGTTTATTTATATAAAGTTTATTTCACCTGTGCATTTTTATCCAATGACTGGGATTGTTCTGAACATTATTGAAAAAGATTAGTGTATACCACAGATTTTGAGGTAGCTGTTACATATGATTGGATGTGCATTATGCAGTTATGAATGTCTAATAGCTGTTCTTCATTAAATGTAAAATGTGCTCATTAATACCATCCAATAGAATTTCTTTATTACTGACAGATATGCAATATATATAACACCACTAATAATAGCAAAGTCAAAAATAATTTTGCTTTTATTTTGAACAAGAGTTGCAGCAGTGAAAGTTATTGACTTGCTGGATCCAGACTAAGTTAATTGCATTTTAATCCATCTGAAATAAGACATAAGTTCTGTCTAAAACATGATCAGGAAGTAAAGCAAAAAGGCACCATCGTCCTTCAGAAAGCTAGTATGCCTTGGCAAGGGGAACTAAGAAATGCTTTCCAGTTTCTGTAAATTCAAAGTGACAAGAGAAAAGTAAACTTGACCTGATTAAAAGTGAGGGGAAAGCCAAGGGATGTGTTCCCACATATTGGTGCCCGGATAGGTGTGAAATTCAGTGTCAAGTATTTACTGGCGCCCTTTAATCAGAGGTAATAGTATGTAGCTTCAGGACTTGGCTTGGTATGAAATGCATACTCACCAAATCAAAAGAGAGTCATTGATGAATTGATAGCCTGTTGTGGGATTCTGGGACTCTTGGACATTTCTCTTTCAACACATTCTGTTCAGCCTGTGCCTGTGAGTATTAGGTATGGCTAATAGTTTTCATAAGCAATATTTTACTGAGATTCCTTTTTCTCCTTCTAGCAACTTTGAATTGTTTTATATCGTGATATACATGATATATGTGTGTGTGTGTGTACATTGTGGTTTAGCATTCAGCAGAACTTTTGAATCCAATTAATATATGGATAGATTTATAGCCCATATTTTTGCCAATGATAATATTATTTGAAGCCACTATTGTTCTCAAGATGAGGAAAAGCCAACTTTTAATATAAACATTATTTCTATTTCTTTGTTTGAATGAAACTTTGGCACTATTACTTAGCCAATTGGTTTCAAGCAGTGTGGTGGAATTATTGGCACTGGGACAGCTTCCAGGCAGAGGGAATAGAGTATATTGCATGTTGAGACCTAGTACTTTCAGTTGCAGAAGTGTTGCATGTTGGGAGAGGATTACTATAGCAGATTAGTGCATTACTACTGAGATAATTATTTCTAGAAAGTCACATTTCCAGCTTCTTATCACTCTTTAGGCGAACATTACTTTCTGCAATGAACTTGATAAGTATTCAAGTATTGTAAGAAAAATGGTGGCTCTCCCATTTTCTAATTGCAACTGATTCACCATATTCTATAAAGGTTTCTGAAATATAAATTATTGATCAGATTAACTTAATTAAATTTCACTTTTTTCTTAAAGAGAAAATATCCAGGAATGGCTCAGATATTAGACTGATTTTCTATCCCAAAATAAATCTTTTGCAATCTATTCCAATATGCAAGACTGCAGTTAGGGAAACAAATAACTTGATTGTTTCACTAAAGAATATTAGTTGTGAATTTTATTTAATGGAAAGAGGAGAATGAATATTTAATTATTGTTTCAAATGTATATGAACTTAATTTTAGCTTTTCCAGTTTATAGCTTGGAGGATTATAAATACCTGTAGAGCTAGTTTGACCACAGTTCTATAAGATAATAACTAAGAACTGCTAGCAAAGGTAGCTATATAATTAGTCTTCTATCAGTAGAAAACTATTGTTTATTACATATTGATAATACCTATGTATGAAAGAATACCAGTTGCTTGGTGGAGATCAGTAAATAATTTACTGATGCAGATTCCCTTCTATTTTAGGGATAAGACGAATTGGCAGAAGGCCTGATCAGCAACAGCCTCAGGGAGAGGGCAAGCCTATTGAGAGGAGGCAGGAGAGACGGCCTCCTCGTGAACGACGATTTGACAAACCTGCTGAAGAAAAGGGTGAAGGAGGAGAATTTTCTGTTGATAAGTAAGGATTGTACATTGTTTGGATGATTGTGTGCTAGGATAATCAACAAATTGACCTGTTGATGAATGTAATCCAAAGTAAGTTAATTAGGAAGCGCAGAATATTTGCTTTTAGAAAAACAGGTTTCTTCATACATTTTAATTAAAATATTGTGAGTCACTTGATTTCAAATAGACTGTGGCAATATTTTTAAAGCGTATTAACAGTTTTATGGGGCTTAATATAGACTCTATTCTATTTTTGTTTACCATAGACCTATTATTGATCGTCCTATGCGTGGCCGTGGTGGTCTTGGAAGAGGTGGTCGTGGTGGAAGAGGACGTGGAATGGGCAGAGGAGATGGCTTTGACTCTAGAGGCAAACGTGAATTTGATAGGCATAGTGGAAGCGACAGATCGTAAGTCTTAAAAACTCAGTAGCTTCTCTTTAAAAATATATTGGATTCTATTATAAGATTTTACAAATTTTCCTTTGAATTTCTGTATCCCAGCACTATTGTGTTAACTCAGTTTTGTTAGTTCTCTTTCACATTCACATTTCAGTGGTCTAAAACACGAAGACAAGCGTGGCGGGAGTGGATCACACAACTGGGGAACTGTCAAAGATGAAATGACGTTAGTATTTTGTTTTAAGCTTATATATAGAATAATTATGAGTTTATGATGACATGATGAAAATGCAGACATTATGTTTAATGTTCAGCATCCTCAGCTAGAAAGCAGTAGTCATGATGAAAGGAGCATAAATCTTTTTGAAAACAGAATATTATGCAGTAGAATAATATTGTTTTTCAGTCTTACCATTTTGAGGCTTCTGCCAAATGTGTGTCTGTTAAATTTCATCATATCACCTGTATTTTATTAGAGCATATATTTTTAGAAAGCAAATAAATATATTTGGGAAAAATTGAAACATTAAGAAGGACCTTACAATTTTTCATAAATTTAAACTTTGTGTTGGCAAGTATGTTAGAAGTGCTAATTGGGAAAAAAAAATTTTTTATTTTAAACTCTGCAGTGACTTGGATCAATCACATGCAACAGAGGAAACACCAGAAGGAGAGGAACATCCCCCTGCTGACTCGGAAAACAAGTAAATATTAAATTGTTGGGTGTTTTTTTTAATCACTGATACAAAATTAAGTTGGTGATGATGTCATTGTGCTGACATGATGCATTGGAATGCATGAATGACCTTGGGGAAAGAGATGCTGCTTAAAAAATAATCAGACGAGAAGGGGGGACAATCCCTCACCTCAAATGGCTTAATAGTCAGAGGAAGAAACTTTGGAACTGTCTGACCTAATTGATCAGATGGTGATTAAAAGTTAAAGATGGCAGTGGGAAGTTTGTACCTTTAGACTTGCAAGATTGTGTGGATATAGCTTTTGATTTTAGTTGATGGAAAGCCAGCATTGAAGATTGCAAATGGTGATCATGTGGATGGTAGGATGCTGTGCAGACCAGTTGCAAGAGCCATAACTGAGGATCGCTTTAAAGTTCCCCTCATTCAGCACCATTATAACTACCAAAGGTTATTGAATAAGTAATTGTAAAACAGGGACCACCTGTTTTATATACTTATATAGTGCTTTTGACGTTTATGTTGAAATAAAAAAAATAGAATCCTCAGTTAGGATACGGATCTATTTCAGGAATGACCATCCCATATGGCAGCAAACAAAACAGAACTCTCCATTTCTAAGTAAGCAGTAAAAAGTTTCCCTAAGCTTCTGGTATTAAAGCACGGATATTACTGTATATTCTGTATATTGCTGTACACGGATATTCTTCATATACATGAAGAATCAAGGAAAAAGAGGTTGAAAATGCATTTCGAAGGGGCTGAAGAGGGAAAAAATAGCAATAACACTTAGACTTATATACCGCTTCACAGTGCTTTACAGTGCCCACTCTAAGCGGTTTATAGAGTCACGCATATTGCCATCAACAATCTGGGTCCTTTTGTTGCTGGTGGCAACAAAATAATGTTGCCATCAGTCTAAACAGACTGTTTGTTTGTTTTTGTGTGTGTGTGTGTGTACATGCTTATAACTGGTCCTTGTGGTCACATGATCATGATTTGTACACTTGGCAACCAGTTCAGGCTTACGACCATGTGATCACCATTTACAACTAGTTTATCCAGAAAGAAAATGGGGAAGCCAGCAGGGAAGCTGCTAGGTTGCAGGAGTAAATCTTCCCACCTTGGATCTTTTCTCATCCTCTCTGTACTCATGCTGTACCTCCCTGGCAGCATCTCCCCAGCCTATATCATGCCTCTCCTGCACCCTCTCCTCTTCTCCCCTGCCCAGCAACAGCCACTTATCCTCTTGCTGGACTGAGATTTTCTTCAGGCTTCCTCATTTATTTTGGTTATGGGAAACTGGCAAGAAACTACTTTGGCTGCTGGTTAACAAGAGGGACCATAGGGTGATTGCTGTTGCTAAATAATGCATTATGCTTTACTATCTCCTCATTTAGTGACAGAAATTTTGATCTTAATTGCTGTAATAAGTCAATACTATCTGTAGTTTTGAATGAAGTCTTCTGAGAAATTAGAAATTAGTATTTTTGAAAAGGCTTGTGAGATTGTATGTAATTGAAGATGCATTTAAAACGTAGCCTAGCTACCATTGTGCATAGTCTTTCTTTTTAGAGCAGTGGTCTCCAATCTTGGCACCTTTAAGTCTGGCAGATTTCAACTCCCAGAATTCCTGAGCCAGCTTTGCTGGCTGGGGAATTCTGGGAGTTGAAGTCCACCAGACTTAAAGCTACCAAGTTTGGAGATCCCTGGTTTAGAGTATCTATTATTAATGGAGATGTAAGTACAGATCACAAAATGCTCTACCAAAAGCAATATTAGTACCTTTTTATTGCTTTAATACATGGAAAAAAAACAGAAAGAAGATGCAGAACATATTTACATATATGAAATCATCTGATATTTACATATATCATGAAAACCTGATCACAAAATAGAATAAAAATAGAATAATGAATCTTTACTACACATTAGTATGGAGATAGTACATCAGAAAGTTAACATGTTTTTGTTCAATACTATAGGTACACTGCCTTTCCAATATTAAAATAATTATCTTGTGTGTCCTCCCCCCTCCCCCCCAATAAGTCATGGTGATTGATTCCCACTTTTTGGTATATAATTCAAAATTACATTTTATCTTTAAATTTTTAAGATTAATAAGATTTATAGATACTGAATTAAAATGAAAGTTAAGGTTATTTCCTTTGAGTGCCACCTGTTTTAAACACAGGTTTATGCCCAGCCTTTTAAAACAATAAAGCGTTTTGTTAAATTGGCATCATTGTATAAGAAGCATACATAATCTGCAAAATGCTGCCTTAAATAATATAGGTGTGATAACATACGTATTCCATGATGTTTATTTCATAATCCTTGAAAATAATTTGGGTTATCTTACTGATACTATTTAATTGTTTATTTGAAAAAATAGCGTAATATCAAGTCATCCATAGTCTAATTCAGTTTGATTATAATCAGGAATTTATATATGACAAGTCTACTGCTATTGCTATGCTGTAAAATTGTGAAATAATATGTTTTAATTAACTTTCTTGCCAATTAATAGTTTTGGGCATTCCAAATTGCAATTTCTTAAAATAGTAATCTAGTATTAGATGCTTAGCAACCTTTTACAAAATCATATTGTGTGGGATAGACAGTTGAAGGTAGTATTGTCTGCAATGAATATGTCAGGTTCACTGTTCGTGTGTCTGTGTGTGTGTACATTTATATATTGTATATATTAAATATCAAGGAATTGGATAACAAATGTTATAATCTGCCAGATTTTGTTATTTAGTGGCTTTTGAGTCTCATAAGTCATGAGGTAGGTACTCTTTGTCAGAATTGTATTTTAGTGTTGGCTTCTGTGAATTCTAGTAAGTGCGCACTGTTGCCTTTGTTAAAGTTCCATTTTTTCCAAATATTGGGGTCCTCTCCAATATTGACCAAGTATTAAAGGTTCAGCAATCCAGTGCGCAATCTGGTTTTGCCAAAGTACCAGACAGCTCTATTTCACAGATATTTCAATCTATTATTGATTGGTTGATGATTGGCCTAGGAAGGTTGATGTTTTTCTCAGCAATTTTAATTTGGTTTTAATTTCTACAATCCAGGGTTTCTATTAACAGTGGAATGGTGCAATTCTGTCATTTCTGATTGCCATTGGTAAAGCAAATAACACATTGCTAAGCAAGGACAACACATGTTACCATTTACGACCAGTCTGCCCATTACTTTGATTGTTGGGAAATGGGAAAGATCACAAATGGCAACCATCTGTTGCTCAGATGCTATAACATTATAATTATGAGCTTGGCACCCAGATTGTGATTACATTGCAGTGTGGATGCCTCAATAGATGGAACTCAGAGGACCAATCATAAGTATTACTAGTTTAGCACCATGACAAGTTTGAATAGTCATTGAATATTAACTGAGGACCACCTGTATTAAGGAACTAACTCTGTGGCTTATATTACTCATAGGCTAAATACTTGGACTGGAGCCTTTTCCTGTTTCATAGGATTAATTGTCTCAGTAATTTAACTGAAAAATAAAATTGTAGCTAAAAAGGCAACTTGAAATTATAATCTTGTATAAAAGTAGTTTAATTCAGTGGGCTAAGTATTGCAATTCAGAATATTCTTTTAAAAAGATCTTAGTGAATCAGAATCATGATATGCCTATCCTGAGTATGGCTTATAGTAGATACAGTGTAATAACTATTTCAGTCAAAAGGCTAGTAATTGCTGTATGATTTAGTGAATACTCTGTTTCAAGGGCATAGAGCAGAAATTAGCGCGTATAAAATGGGAAGAATTTGTTGGGAAAGTGGATAAAATATATTTTTACTTCAAAAAAATAATCATTTCTGGGCTGTAAATGGAAGTTAAGAATTACTTTGGACAGTTATTCAATTTTTATTTTAATAGTATGGAACTTTTCCTAATTTGTAGCTAATGGCCAACACTGTGTTTACCTTTAATGAGTAAATCAGGATGATATATACTAAGCATTCCAGTAGAAGAGAAATCTGTAGCTCAGGATTGAACTGTGGAGTTCTTGATACTCTCTAAGCTTGGTTGTTTGCTTGCTTGCAGACATTTCATCACCTGACTAAACTCAATGCACTAGTTGGATAATGAAATGTTTGCAAGCAAAAAACCAAACAGACAACACCAAAGTCTCCATAGTATCAACCATTGTTTTTGAACTTGAAAGGTACAGCTGATAATAAAATTGAAATACAATAATAGTAACATTTTATCATCAATAAAATTTCGTGGTAAATATATTTAGACTATGTGCTGTTCTAGGTGTTTTTCTAGGGTTTTTTCCCTTGTATTTAGATTTCATTTCTTGGAAAGAGTGTGTTTGTGTGTGTTTGTTTATTAAGTGCTTGACATTCATATTTATCGTAGGGAAAATGAAGTAGAAGAAGTTAAGGAAGAAGGCCCTAAAGAAATGACTCTTGATGAATGGAAAGCTATTCAGAATAAGGATCGCGCAAAAGTCGAATTCAACATCCGTAAACCAAATGAAGGTGCTGATGGACAATGGAAAAAAGGCTTTGTTCTGCACAAGTCAAAGAGTGAGGAGGTACGTACAACTTACTTTATTGTTCATTTATACATATAAGACTAATTGGTTTACAACAGTGTAACCATGTGTTTATTAAATCAGATTTCAGAAACAAGCAGGTATTTTTTTTATCCTTTGCAATTGAAAAATTTAAAAACACAATGAGCAAAATCTTGGATTGTGATATTCCAGTGTTTAGCCTTGTGTTTGGCCCTCAAAGACTTTCTTTTAAAAATCACCAAATATTAGCTTATAATATGGCAGGAAGGGAAAAAAGATTAATATATGAGTAGAGAATGCAACATTAAATGTAAATGAAATCAGTGTTAACTTTTGTCTCAATTTCACATTTTTGTTTATCAATACCTGTTTTTCCTATGCAGGGTTAAGTGGGGCTTTCAGCCCCTAAAAATTATATTTGCCTGGTGGAGGTGGAGAATACATTCCAGTTTTTTTTAATTTCAGTTGGCTAGTGGGATGTGGGTTATGCATGTAAATCATAACATGCTAGAACAATTTATAGGAAGAGTGTTTTACTGAATAATTATTTAGACATCTAATATTCCATTGTATAAACATTTCCATGAAAAGTAAACTGTAAAATTTAAGACCATTTAACTGCACTCTGCATCTTACTTAACTGTGATAGCTTTCTGTCCAAAGTAATATTGTGAATCTGCTTTGCTTACTTGTCATTTTTATGGAGAGTTACAAGTAGTCCTTGACTTATAGGCATTTGTTTAATCAGCATTCAAAGTTACAGCAGCGTGGGAAAAAAGGACTGATGATTGTTTTTTATACCTATGACCATTGCAGCATCCCCATGATCACATGATCAAAATATGTACTATTGGCAACTGGCATGTATTTTTGATGGTTGCAGTGTTCTGAGTCATGTGATCCTCTTTTACAACCTCCTGATAACCAAAGTCAGTGGAGAAGCCAGATTCATTTAATAACCACATTACTAATTAACAACTGCAGTGATTCACTTAACAACTGTGGTAAGAAATGTAAAATGGGGCAAAACTGACATAAGAATAAATTTGCATAACAAATTTTGAGCTCAATTTTGTCATTAGTTGAGCTCTACCTGTATGTTTATTGGAGATGTTGCTATCAAGCTATTTGTTTTATTTATTTTTCTTTGCTCCTGTTTCTTAGTAGCAAAGTTGATTCTTTGTTTTTTTAAAGACATGAGCTCCATTCTTTTTACTAGGGATAATTTATAGATGAGAGCAATGTGAATTGTGATCTAAAGTTGTATTTTAGAGTTCAGCACTTCCTTTTAACACACCTACCTTGATGTGACTTTTTTTTCTCTTAAAAGTGATCTTGATGCTTAAGCTTATGTGTATTAATTTTATTAAACACACTGGCTTGAATCCTAATCCCATAACATCCTCTTTACTTGTTCTGGTTTTGGATTTTTCTCAATGTATGCTTAAAAATAGGTAGTCTTCGACTTACAACCATTCGTTTAGTGACCATTTGAAGTTACAATGACACTGATAAAAGGACTTGTGACCGTTTTTCACAGTTATGACCTTTGCAGGATGCCAATAGCCATGTGATCAAAATTCAGACACTTGGAAACTGACATCTGTTTATAACAGTTGCAATGTTCTGTGGTCATGTGATCCCCTTTTGTGACCTTCCGAAAGTATTGGGAAGCCAGATTCACAAAACAACCATGTCACTGGCTTAATAACTGCAGTGATTCACTTGACGACGATGGCAAGAAAGGTAAAATGGGAAAACTCACTTAACTCTTGCTTAGCAACAGAAATGTTGGGCTTAATTATGGTTGTAAGTTGAGAACTACCTGTATCTGGCATCCTACAGTTTTGCCTGCTTACCATATTTTGGGAGTATAAGACACACCAAGGTTTTAAGAGGCAAATAAAAAAAAAAAGTTTTTGCACTCTGCAAACCTCCCCAAAATGGCCCATTTTTTGCAAAAAGGAGCCTGTTTCCCCCCCCCCCAAAAAAGGCATGAGTGCTGCGGGGGGCAAATTTGAGCAAAAAACAGCCCATTTCTTTTTCCTCATTTCTGCCCTCACCAGCCCCCAGGAGCTCTCTAAAAGCCTCCTACAAGCTATGCACGGCCATTTTGGTGAAGGGGTGGGGCTTCGGGAAGCAAAAAATGCTGTATTTGATGTATAAGACACACCCAGATTTTCAGCCTCTTTTTTGAGGCAAAAAGGTGCGTCTTATACTCTGAAAAATACGGTAATTGTAGAATTATGTATACACATATGGGAGTCTCATTATCTTTCTTTTGTTTTTATTCCTTGCCCATTGACATACAACTTACTTCAGACAAAGGGGATGTCAGAAATGCAGGGGAGTCAGCTGGAACCCAATGAGGTACTTATGGTTTATCTTTACTTAATGAATAAGAAACTCTACAAGTTCAAATTTGAAGATATTTTTTTAAAGAAAACCATTGAAAGCTGTTGATGAATTCATTAATACTTTTTTTTGTAACCAGTTTGGTTGCTGACCAAACAGCATTTGCTCCTTTGTGTGCCAGCCTGCTTGCCCACGAGTTCAAGTAATTTTAGTTTCTTATTATTTATCATGACTGTAAATATCCATGGCTGTACTCTGATTGTCTGATTTTTTTTCCTGAAGAAAAGTTTTGAAGGGATTCAGTATTCAGTTGATCTGTGTTCCTTTTTCATTATTAGTGGTATTCACTGTCAGCTGTTAAGGAATAGTACTGTAACATTGTCACACCATCTGCTACTCCTGTTCAAGTAGTTTGTTGTGGCTTATGTAGCTGAAACCATTTCAGCCCAGTGCATATTGGCAGACTTTGTGCAGGTCAGTTCTCCCATTCATAGAATAGTATTCTTCAAGTTCATTTAATGTGGATTTTAACTGACTGTATAATTTTCTTGGTTATGGTTTGCTTGTATATTATGTATCTTTCAGTTGATCTTACTAATTATTCAGTTGCAGTAAGACAAATTACTCTATAAGTAATGACGAGGGACTGGGGCTCTGTGAAGAGCTTTAGGATTACTATTACTGTGCAATAGTAATTGAGGATAACAGTCTGTTATAGTTCTTACAGGAATATGATATAAATCCAATTTATAAATATGGTTTGCAGCAGTTTCATCACAGTGGGCTTGAGTGGGATTTTGTCCAGAAGTATGGACAAGATGGTTTCTGTAAAGTTAGCTATTTAAAATATAATGTATACTTGCTATCAGTTGATATTGAGATATGGCATTTTCTTTTAACTATGTTTGATCTATAGAAGATAGGGCAATTTTTAATCAAGTGTTGAGTTTTTTGTGTTTTTGATTTGCGTTCTTTGTATCTAGATAATTAAATCTTCTTTGCAAATCCAGAGCTTTTAGCTGGAGTCGTGGCATAATGTTTCAGAGAGTATAATAATTCTAGGGTTCCATAACTTCACCTGTTAAAAATGCAGTTTTGACACACATTTGACAATATTCAAATGTTGTTCCTCATTCCATTCTAATATTGATTTGCCTGATTTGCAACCTACTAGTTTAAGTAATATGGATACAGTGCTATATAATTGTCTGTTTTTTGAATGAAAATAAATTTTAAGGCATACCAGTTAAACCTGAATTACTTGATTTCATTATAGGCTCATGCTGAGGACTCTGTAATGGATCACCATTTCCGCAAGCCAGCAAATGATATCACGTCCCAACTGGAGATCAATTTTGGGGATCTTGGTCGTCCTGGGCGTGGTGGTAGAGGTGGAAGAGGCGGTCGTGGGCGTGGGGGAAGGGCTAACCGTGGAAGCAGAACTGACAAGGTAACAACTGATTTTATGCAAATGAAATGTCAACATGGCAAATGTTTTATGGAACTGAGTGGCTTCTAGAAATGGTGCACAACATTACAAGCCTAGCCTGCACAACTTTATAAAAATAAAGTTATATCTGAAACCGTAAGAAGTTACTTTAGGGAAGATGTTTATGTGATAGTTTTATGGCTGAAATGTCAAATACATTAGCTTTTCCTCAGTTTCACTTAAATGATTGGAATAGGGTGTGAGAACTAGATAACTTCTTAAGTGCTAGAGGAGTTAATCATTTCTTTTCCACTTAAGTTGCAGCCAACTCTCCTTCCCCTTCCTTCCAAATTGTAGCAAGGGGGAGAAGTTAAGCTCTTTTACATGCACTAAAGCTGTTTCACTCAATTTTTGATATTTCCACAATATGTATTACATGAACTCAGAATTACAGATAACTAGTGCTTTCTTTCAAATATAAAGTTTCCTGTTCATGAAATTAATTTCTTAGTTCCATTCTGTTTTGCATACTTTGAAATTTTAAAAAATGTTATCCCAGTTAACAATAAAGTGTCTTAATTCCAAATTTGTATATCCCAAGCAGGAATGCATATTTGATGCATTTTTCTGTTTGTTTCTTCTTGGGTTTGGTTTCCAAATCTGCACCAGAATTTCCTCGAGCTATTCAGAGCAATTTGAGAATTGGGGGATGGCATATGTGCACTGCCTGAAAAAGTGCCAATTGCTCTGATTTCATCAACAAACAATAGTTTAATAGTTTCACTTCAAGATATGTACTAATAGAAGAATGCTCAATAAATATTTTTGCTTGTTCTCTTTTAGTTGGTTAAAGAGTTTGATGTGATCCACACACCCAACCAGGTTAGTGGCTTGATAGTTTTATAACCTGAGTACAATAATGCTAAAGCTAGTGTTCTTCCTAGATTTCCTTCCCTCACGTGTGTCTCTGCTCCTCTGACTTTAGAAATATTTTGCCTAGGATTCTTTTATTAGCCCTTGTGACTAATTTCCACTCAGAGTTGAAGTATGTGTCACTCCACCTTGTAATGTTAAGTGTCAAGGTTTTAGTTAAGTTCTTTTCTGTCTCCTGCCCCTTCACCTTCATTAATGGTCTCTATTACTTTGAGGGTCAAGAAAACGTTTTCTTTATGTATGTCATTCACACTGTGATAATTTCATACACATTTATAGTACCTTATTTGTTAATCCTTGCAACTTTTCGCGATAGCAAAATGGGTACCGGATAATTTCTCCCATAAAAAGGATATTTTATAGAGCAGACATCATTACTAAAAGGGGACTATATTAATAAGTAGTTGACTTACACAGCAAATATGACCAAGACTAGTACTTGTGTAACTTTACTACTATGTTCATTTTTGTATACAGCTGTCTTAAATAATACGACTAATGAAAGTGCTATATTGATGATCAGAATGACAGACCTCCTTTTTCATTTCAGTCAAGTGCTTCTGCTCCTGATGTTGATGATCCAGAAGCTTTCCCGGCTTTATCCTAAATTGGATGCCCTAAGCCAACCCTGCCTCTTGTTGGGCCCTTCTCTACAAGGCTTGCATGCTTAAGGATCCTAAAAACAACTTAAGATATTAAAACGGGGACTCTCATTCATGCCATTCACACCTGAAGACTGAATTTTACCTGTTTTGAAATGAACTTCTCTTGCTACACAGAAGCAACAATATGGTAGTCAGTTTTGTATTTAGAAATGTAATGGTAGCAGGGATGTTTTCATAATTTTTTTCAGAAATTATGCATTCTTCATGGATACTTTTTTGTATTGCTGCTTGAAAATATGCGTTTCCAAACTTGAAATATAGGTGTGAACAGTGTGTACCAGTTAAAGCTTTCACTTCATTTATTTTATTTTTAAAAAATTAGGGTTAGATGTGCTTTCCCTAAACTACAAACAATTTTAACTCTTGCACACTATTTCTTTTAATACTGCTTAGCAGATGGTTTTCAGTCCACGGTCAGCTGGGATATGTATAAAAATAATATGGAAAATTGTTAGTACTGTGTGGAATACTAACTTCTGGAGTATTTGAGTTTTTAATACTTAAGTCAAACTCGGAAAGTCCATTTTCTTCTATCTTTGGTAGTTTGTGTATTCAAAATCTTTATACAAAATTGATATCAGATACTTGAAAAATAGTCAAAGCACATTGGTTTATATTCTCAATACCTGCTTGTGAATCCAGCAGCTCTGGTTGGATAATTGGCCTAAGCCATTTTTTTAAAAAACAATCCATGTTGCACCTCTCATTCACCCTTTTTCTTCAAGAAAACTAGTTGTCTGTTTGGTAAACTTTGTTTAAACTTGTTAATATTGTTGCTACCAAAAATATTCTGTAGAGTGGAGCAACTTTTTTTCAAGACATGGAAGGTTGGGAACACAGTGGTATCTTATTTCTTAATATAGTTGGTTTAAACTACAGTTGATACTGTGTGGCAGTGCTGTAAATCTACATTAAAATGCACCCCCTTGGGCGCATTTAAACACTGTTCCACTAGCATGCAACCCTGATTCTGAAGAAGAAACCAAAGGGCACTGTATACTTCTTGGGAAAGGATTATTTGACTTGTTTAAATTGGAAAACCAAGACCATGAAAGTGGGACAGCAGTGGTCTGCGTGGGACATAAGCCAAACTTTACCACCCGATTGAAATGTGGATCTTGCTCTATTGCTTCAGCTTTTGGCCTTGCCTAGCTGAGAAGTGAATGTTTTATTTTTGGTGTGAGGAGTGATTGTAAGCTCTCCTTTCCACTGTAGAATTTTCTTAATATTTTAATTTAACCCTTGTGAAAGAGTGTGTTACCACTTTCAAAATATGAAAGGACTTGAGCAAATAATAAAAAAGGACTACTTTGCCTTTCTGTCTACAACACTTGTTAGGAGATTAGAACTGAAATATCCATTTATTTCAAGGTTTTGCTGAGTATCTAGTACAATTGGTGGGTTTCTTAAGGAAATGGAAACATTACCCCATTTAAAAAAAATATGGAAGGGAGGGCAAAAAGTATTGAACTAAAGCGTAAACAGTATTGAGGTAATGCATTATCTGAATGATTTTTGTGAACATTTTATTTATGTATGCAAGGGTTACATTACATTGAATCGGATTCTTGATGCGTTTAAATTTCAACTGTGATCAGGAAGTATGGATGGAGAAGCAGATTTTTAAATGAATCCAGTATTTGCCTTCAATGAAGATTTTTAAGCACATATACCCTTCACCCTTCTTCCTACCCCAATTTATTGGTTCTTAGTTTCCCGATTATAATTTTGGAGGTAGTCACATTCCTTAAGAGGTTACATATGTTACTAGGTCCCTTGGTTGTTTCCCATCTAAATGCATCTCATAGCACAGATTATTTTGGAAGATACTGCGTGTTGTCTATCCTTAAAAAAACTATTCCCATTTCCTGCACACATGCTAATGTCCAAATAACATACTTATTAAATAGTATGTTACTGTTCGTGAATACTCCCTATCTAACTCTTTTTTTGACTTCCAGGCTTTAATTCTGGACAGCCATATATCCCATGCAATGCCAGTTTGGTACTTGACGTGACATCTTCATCTTCTAGTATACTTGTAATATAGAGCAAATTTAGAAATGCTGTTTAAAGATGGCAAATTTGCTGGCTTTTAATAGCTGTGTACTTAATTTGTGTTGAGCTGTGAAAATGCTTTCATTAATATTGGTACATATTAGCAAAGTAAAGGTTTATTTTCATGCTCTTTTACAAAAATGCTATTAAATTGGCATTGTAAATGTTTTCAGTGCCAGGCATCTTGCCTAATTTCTAGCTGAAACCATCTACATGTCTTTTCCATGGAATGGTCCCCTTGTGGTGGATCCATTAGCAGTTTTGAGCATAGCTTTAGCAAATAACTACTCGCATACTTAATATTAGCTATTAAATGGATTGGGGTTTGTATCTCTTATTCTCTTGCTTGTTTGTGTTGCTATTGCACCTTTTTTTAGAACGAGCCTCCTTTAAAATGTGATACTAATTATGATTGATTTATTAAATATTTGAGCATGAAAGTTCATCTTGTACCAGACTACCGGCAGAAAAGTTAAAATGAGTAAAATGAGAGAGCACAAGCCCTTGTAAAGTAACCCTAAACATTAAAAAACTATGTCTATGGTGAATATACATTTTGTTGGACAGATACTGCATCTGATTGGATGATTACATTTTGCCCTGAAATTTACATGCCATCCTGTTGACTTAATAAAAAGCAGGACAGGCTTTTGGCTGTCTTGAGTGCTCAAAATTTAGATACATATCCACTTTTGATGAATAATACTAGTTAAATTGCTAACTGCGAAATTACTGGTAAGAAAATTAGGGACTGATAGTGAACTTCCCACCCCTGACAACTTGATTTGAAATGTAATGCTTTTATTTTTGAAGGTGAGATATATGGTGATCTTATATTTTAACAAATGTGAGCTAAAAGTCTTCATCCACATCTGACATAAAGGTAGATTAGTTGCTTAAAAAACAATTGCTTTACCCTTCTCTGCAATTTCAGAGGAGGTTTAAAGAGTTATGAATAGCAATGGGGAGCATCAGAGGAAATATCTGAAGATGGGGAGATTGGCTGTGCTTCAGATGCATTGAATATATGAGAGTGCTGATATTAAGTTACTTCATAACTTAATATTTGAAGTGCTTGCCTCAATTTTGCAATTTAATATTTTGTTTATTTGAAGGTTAAATGCTCTGAATGACAAATGAGAAGAGTTTTTTCAAAATATATTTTAGCTCTTTTCTGTACGTAACATGAAAAAAATTAAATAGGTGGGCAGAGTGCAAGTAAACTACTTTTTAAAAAATTGCTTTGGAAGTGGAGGAAAAAAATTGAATCGTAAGGTCCCATTGGGTTGGTGGTGGGGAAATAGGATAGAATGAGTCACGAATTAAATTATTCAGAACATATCCCCTGTAATAGGTTAACAATGTTTGCAAATATTTACAAGGGTCATTATCCCTGTATTTTAGAAATTATTTCTGGACATTCTGTGGCCTTAATCTTGAAAAGCAAATACTAGTGCATGTTTTCTTGTCAGTTAAACAGTGCTGTATATTACAATTGATTGTATGAAGTGCACTTAGTCTTATATACAGATCTGTCCTTCGATAATGTCGTATTTGTTATCTTCCATATTTGAGAGAATGGAACAGCCTGCATTTTATGAAATTTGTAATCTGATCCTATACATACTCCCATTTTAATGAGATTTTAACTGATGCTTAAAAGTGCAGCTGTTTTGAATGGGTAGGTTTGTTACATAGGTTTCAATCCCACATAGAATAAGTCCCAATAAACGAAGAATGCTTTGTCTGTTTCTAATAGATGTAGCAAAACTATAATGGGCTCTGTTCTGTTCATGCAGAAGGTTATTTCAGATTACTGCTCAATTTCAAGTTGGTTTAAAATACCACTCTGCCTCCAACTGATAGAATTAATTTTAATGAAGTTATTTTGCTTTTTTTAATTTTATTTTTATTATTTTTGTTTCTGGTACATTTGTAGAATTGGATGTTATGGATCAATAGTAGTTTAATCACAGATTTATTCCTGTGAATGCCTCATAAAATGCAAAAGATGGTTTCATCCAGCTTGCCCTGGATTCACAAGTTCACAAAGTTTTTCCCCTAAAAACCACAATTTTGATCATCCAAGAAAAATGGCTAATACTTTCAACATTTATATAAATGATCGTCAGATATACAATTGTCTTCTATCCCATTCTGTTTTATTCCATGTATGTGTATGTTGCCCAAACCAGTCGGTCCTGGATCAATTTAGAATTTCATTTCAGCAAGATGTTCTGAAATAATGACTACCAATTTTGTGTTTTACGAAGAGGATATACTTCGAACAGAATTTCATAGTTACATTGACTAAATGTATCAGTAGAAACAAGCCATATATTTTCTTTAAAATCATATATGCCCATTGCACAAAATACAATTAAAAACCTGGCAACGTTCACTTGTCCTTGGTTAGCCATTAAAAATTATATTCCGTGCATTGGCGTGAAAGCTGCATATTGTCCAGGATATAGTTACCTTAGAATAAATTGGTTCTAAAAACATCTGTGTAGTATCCACATTACAAATATATATTCTGTAGTTAACACAGATGGGCAAGGAACTATCCAAGATAGAGTAAAATTACAATAGAATGAACATTGAGTGACAAACTTATGTTTTGCAGGATTTAATATCAAAGTGGACTATGTATAATTGCATGAAATCCTCCAAAAACCTTTTGACTTGCAGCTTTACAACAATAAGCAGTAAAATATATCTCCCACAAATTGTACTGGGAAGAGTCTTACATCTACATATGCAGTACTTTAGAAAACATTTTTACTATATTCCTTGGGGGAACACTTGCCTGTTTCAAAACCTGAATATTGCTTTTACCTTTAGAAAATGAACTAGTATGGGTTCTGGCATTTATATAGAAACAACTGCAAGTTTCCAGCTTATTGAAAAATCCAAAGTATTGTATTGCACAGAATATAACCTGCTTAAAAAGCATACTTCAATTAAGAGGTGTGATTAAAATGTATATACATATGACCGTGGGAAAATCAGCTCCTTTCTTTTGCAATGGACAACTGTAACTTCTGAAACACATTGATAAAAATGGTCAGTATGCTTTGTAGCTTTATGAAATTTTCTACAAATTTCATAAAATTACTAAGTTTTCAAATGTAGAAAATTTTTGCTACATAGGTCTTCCTGATTACTATAAAACTAAAATTATATTGAGATTACGGTATACCGAGGGGTGGGTTCTGGCTGCCTCTACTGGTTCGCTCAGAGATGTGCCACACGCTTGATGCGTGCATATGCAGTGCACCAAAAATTGTGCATGTGCAGAAGGCAAAAACAAGATGGCGCCGCTAAGAACCAGTTTGGGGGCGTGGCAGGCCTGGGTTACTGCCAGTTCCAACGACCCAGGCTGCCAAGTTACCGGTTTGGCCAAACCAGTCCGAACTGGTAGGAACCCACCTTTGATATACCTAAATGAAGTTTTTCCCCCCTTTAAAACCATGTGTGAAAGCAAACAATGTTTTGCAATCAATCAAAGAGCTGGTTTGGTATGGTTAAGGCAACAGGGTGGAAACCAGGAGACTGACTTCTAGTCCTGCCTTAGGCAAAAGTTCCCAACTGGGTAACCTTGGGCCAGTTAGTTTCTCTCAGCCCTAGGAAAGGTAATGGCAAACCACTTCTGAAAAACCTTGCCAAGAAAACTGCCCGTACTTGAGTCTCCTGAGAATACAGTTGAAAACAAAGAGATCCTTTCAGTTTGGAAACTCCAGGAGATCTTGAAAGTGCAATAAGTGCATATAACAAGGCAAGTAAAATGAATGAACTTCAGCAGACTCGTGGATCAATTTATGGGCAAAAAGTTTGAAAACATTTGCTATAAAAAGTGGTAAGTAAAGGTGGAGCTGATTGGGCTCTTGGAAGTATCAATATAAGATGCTATGCTGTTTTGCTGAATGGTCAGATATTGGAAGAATAGACCTGAAAATTCTGACAATTTCCACTGGAAAAGCATTCTAGATCCACCAATTTAAATCCTAGGGTTCTGTAAATTATGTCCATGCAGATGGTAACAGCTGACAATCTACAATAGGAAGCCTTGCAGGATTGGACCCATTAGCGCTTGGATAGGAGACATGCAGAAATACTAATGCTGTAGGCTAGATCTGGAAGTTTAACAAGCCAGCAGCGTAACTGCTGCTGCTACTATTGCCAAGAAAATTTCAGGAGTCCTTGAAGTCATCAAGAGTTGGACTCAACTTGGGTTTCATTTTAAAGTTTATAATTAGAACTACATTCAGGACCAGCTGAAGTCCCACCTGTTTTCTGAAGGTAGAGAGTAGCAGTCTGTCAAGAAACATACTAAAGTCTGTGCAGTTAGGTGTGTAGTTCTCTGCTACCACCAAAACTTCAGACTTGTATGAAGCTAAACACAACTCAAGGCAACAAGATAGGGTGAACTGTTGCCTTTCAAATGATGGCGAATGTCTTGTTTAGATTACATTTAGATTTACTCTTAATATTGCATAGGGAATACTTGCATCCTGAAAAAGGATTTGAAACTGCTTTATGCTTTGGTGTAAAGTAATCTAGATCCCTTTTAGTCGGGTTTCAGGCCTAGTTACTCCATGGAAACTGCTTTGGTCGCGCTGACCGATGATCTCTGGCGGGCCAGGGATAGAGGACATTCCTCTATCCTGGTGCTTCTTGACCTCAGTGGCCTTCAATACCATCAACTATGGTATCCTTCTGCGACGACTGGGGGAGGTGGGAGTGGGAGGCACCGTGTTACGGTGGTTCTCCTCTTACCTCTCCGGTCGCAGTCGGTGTTGGTGGACAGAGGTTGACCCCTAGGCCCCTAAAATACGGGGTGCCACAGGGCTCGGTCCTGTCCCCCGTCCTATTTAACATCCACATGAAGCCACTGGGTGAGATCATTCGTTGGCACAGGATCAAATATCAATATGCGGACGATACCCAGTTGTATCTGTCTGCCCCGTGCCAACTCAGTGAAGTGGTAGAAGTGATGTGCCAGTGCCTGGAGGCTGTTAGGGTCTGGATGGGAGTAAACAAGCTGGCATTCAATCCCGACAAGACCGAGTGGCTGTTGATGTTGCCCCCCAAGAACGGACCAGATATTCCATCTCTTAGCCTAGGGGGCGAAACCCTTCGCCCCTCAGGGTCCGCAACTTGGGTGTCCTGGATCCTCAGCTGACATTAGAATACCATCTGTCGGCTGTGACCAGGGGGGCTTTTGCCCAGGTTCACCTGGTGCACCAGTTGCGGCCCTACCTGGACCGGGAGACACTTCAAATGGTCACTCATGCTCGTCACCTCTAGGCTTGATTACTGTAATGCGCTTTACTTGGGGCTGCCCCTGAAGAGTGTTTGGAGACTACAATTGGTCCAGAATGCAGCCGCGCGAGCCATATCGGATGTACCTAGGTACACCCATGTTACACCTATCCTCCGCGAGCTGCACTGGCTTCCCATCAGTCTCCGAATGCGCTTCAAGGTGCTGGTCGTTACCTTTAAAGCCCTACATGGCTTAGGACCTGGATACCTACAGGACCGCCTCCTGCCACATACCTCCCACCGACCTATAAGATCCCACAGATTGGGCCTCCTTCGGGTACCGTTGACCGGGCAATGCCGGTTGGCGACTATTTGGGGGAGGTCTTTCTCTGTAGCTGCTCCAGCCCTGTGGAATGATCTCCCCACAGAGATCCGGAACCTTCCCACTCGGCTTTCCGTAAGGCCACTAAAACCTGGCTGTTCCGACAGGCCTGGGGCTGTTGACCCCAAAATATGGTCCAGCCCCACTTGGAATGGAGTGCATGGTGTGTTTTTAAGTCTATCTTTTCTTTTTTTCTATGCCTGTTGATTTATTTGTATTGTGAGCCGCCCGGAGTCCTATGGGATTGGGCAGCATACAAGTGTTATTAAACTTTGAAAACTTTGAAACTTAACTCTGGGCTTTCATTCCATCAAACTGGTGAAATTGACATTAATCTATGAAATACGTCATAGTAACACTGTTAGCCTTTATGATGCCACAAACCTGAATGAAAGTTCAGGGGATTCACAGATCATGAGGTCCCTAAGAATTGCCCTAAATCAAACATTAGGATGTGAACTATAATTCCCCCAGTGCCAACTTTTAAATCCTTCCAATGAGATAGATTATTCTAAAACAGTTTCTCAAATCTCATTCTATCAGTGCCAGAAAGAGAATTCACATGGTTTCAATATTGACTAAAATGCAGTATCTCCGCTCCATTTCCTAGCACAAATAAGATGCTTATAAAAATGATTAAACTTTCTAGCAAATGACGTTCCTATTCAAATGAATTCACGAATTACAATTGAACCTTAAATTAGAAATAAGATGTGCTGGAATAATTCACGTATTTTCTTCCAATTGTAAAGGGAAAAATATTTTCAATCTCTAATAGTTTCTAAAAAGTGAGTGACATTGATGAACTAGAAGCCAGGCTCCACAGGAACATTGTCTTTTATTTTGGGTGGCTGGGCCCCCCAAAAGCGTGGTTTAAAATTTGGTTTCAGCTTCATCAGTTCAATGGTTGAACAAAAAATAAAAATAAAATCATAGGCTAAAAAAAGAGGCGTGTCGAGATCTTTTACAGCTCATTCCTCAAGTGTTCGGTATTGGGCTCTTGAACTGATTTAATTTTAGTTTTGGGAAATTGGTCTGTTGTTACTGGTCATACAATGATGCTACTGTGAATTAGTTTTTTCAAAGAAAGCACCAAAGGCATTCAGTTCCACAAAACACATTAAGCCTGTGCTTTAAATAAAGTGAAAAAACACCTTTGTGATATTTTAATGCTCAAATAACCCCTCTTCACCCTCCTGCTCCTCCACCTCAGAAAATATTGGAACATATTTTTTCATAAACAAAATAAGGTGGGAGACTGCATTTTATATCTCCTAAGCTGGAAATATAACAGGGGTATTGTAAGTATGGAAATAAAAATGAATGTTCTCTTTCCAGCTACGTTGATGTATTTTTGTGTATTTTGGTCCGTAATTGGTGTTATACTACATAATATAAGCATTGGAGCATTGCAATTTTGGGGATTCATGCATACAAATAATTTGGGGGTGTTTCAAAGCCTGAGTTTGTTGTGGCAAACAAACTCATGCCCAGATGTGCCCTTAAGGGCTGGTACTTCCTACTATTTACCTGAGTTGGCTGCTTCTTCTGATGACAACATAGGAGTTTCTCACAGGCATTTCAATCCTGTGATTTGCTTGCATTGTCATATGTGAATGCTGATGTAGATGTACATGGAGTGTTGAGTTTCTCTTGTTAACTGGCCACCCAGTTCAATTGATTTAGGGGAAAGATGAGTTTAGATTGGCTTAAAGGCTTATTGAAATCATCCCTCATGTTTCTGTGTGAATGACTGCAGCAGCTTCAGTTCCTGGCCATTTTGCCCCATGTCTGTCTCCCAATCCTATAGAGCAGGGGTCTCCAACCTTGTCAACTTTCAGACTTGTGGACTTCAACTCTCAAAGCTGGCTGAGGAATTCTGGGAGTTGAAGTCCACAAGTCTTAAAGTTGCCAAGTTTGCAGACCCCTGCTACTGTGTATTAAATTTGTCACAGCTCAGGGAAGGCTTCTCACAGAAACTCAGACTTTTCCAATTTCAAGCATTCTGCGTCAGGTGTCACACTCGCCATGTCACATTGCCATCACGTGACATATTGCAATGTTTTTCCCTTCACTGAGCTGGGATGGGCGTGGCCTATGCGTGACACATCTGCCAGTTTGACACCCCTGCTCTACAACCAAGTGCTGTAGCTGATCACAGTGGTTCTCTCAATTCCTATTATTTTGCTAATACAGGTAGTCCTCGACTTACAACCACAATTGAGACCCAAATTTCTGTTCTTAAGCAAGACATTTGTTAAATGGATTTTGCTCATTTTATGACATCTTACTGCAGTTGTAAAGTGAATCACCACAGTTGATAAGTTAGTCACATGGTTGTTAATTGAATCTGGCTTGCCTGTTGTTTTTGCTTGTCAAGAGGTTGCAAAAAGTGATCATGTGATCTTGGGACACAGCAATGTCATAAACATGGATCAGTTGCCAAGCATTTAAATTTTGATCACATGATCATGGGGATGCTACAAAGGTCGTAAGTCACTTTTTCAGTGCCATTGTAACTTTGAATGGTCACTCAATGAACTGTCGTAAGTCGAGGACTACCTGTACTCTCAAGGCCAGGATTTTTGCTGCTGACTTAGAAGTCTGTGTCCCAGTCTTTTATTACAGAACATGCAACTTGCATCAGTCTTCTTGGAGTTTCAGACTCAGTAAGCTATGATCTCACCTAATGTTGAGGTGTGTGGATTGGATTCTCTCCTCTCCACTGAAAATACCTGTAATGAGTCAGCCAAATGACATGTTGCACCTGTCAGAGACCTTGTTTTTCAATTGCCATGGCTATGCCTGCTGCCTGTCCTAATTTAGGTATGTACCATTTTATTAAGAATTTTAATCGCTATAAACTGATACAAACTAAACTTAAAAGAGAATAAAAGTAAAAACAAATGCAAGGGAAAAGAGAAAGAAGAAAGACAAAAGTAAGCATAAGAAAGGTAGGTGTGTGTGTGTGTGTGTGTGTGTGTGTGTGTGTGTGTGTGTGTGTGTGAGATTTTCAGCCTTCATCACAAACAAATTTAGTGATTCTGGTTACAAACATTTATTACTTCATCCAAAATTCTACCTCTTATCTATAAACAAATCCATCCAACAATATCTTTTCAGTCCTAGTGTCACCCAAAACATCCCCAAGGGGCTGCTAACAATGTATCTTGTTTTAATGTTAATCAAAAAACCTCAACTTTATATTCTTTTCTTTTTATTTCTAACCATGTTAATCTTTAGTTCATTCAAATATTGTCATAGGATCTGTTTTTCTTCATTTCTTCTTTATCCCATCACACAGTTCTTCAAGGCTTTAATAAGCCTCTTACAAATCAAGTAGAGAAACATTATCCAGGTCACTCCCTTGATTTGTACTTCTCTCTTAAATTTTAAGTGAATTTAAGCCAGTTTCTTTAATAAAGCCATTTATTATTGTCTTCAATAACATTGAAAAACATTTGGACAACTGTTCATAGAAGCAGAAATAATTACTGAAATTGTCGATATTGTTGTTAGCATTTTCTGAATTCATTTTTCAAAAGCCACCTTTGTATAGTCATTGATATAACAATGAATTTTGCAATATTCTACTTGTAAATCTGTCCTTTACTTAAAAACTTAATCCCGTCTAGTGTCCAGTTTTTGAAATCATGAAATTGCTTACCTTTTTTTAAGATCGTAAAAATCAAAAACAGAATCTAATTCCTATGAGAAGTTTGGGAGACCTCTACAGTATCACAAGAATAGCAACAACCCCCCCCCCACCCCGAGCATAGGTCAGGAATCAGCAACCCGCGGCTCTGGAGCTGCATGTGGCTCTTCCATCCCTCTGCTGTGGCTCCCTTTTGCCTGTTGGCTCCACAATTGATAGGTCTTTTGGTTAGGACAGATAGAGGAAAAAAAACGCTGCAGGAGGAGACTCTATGAGGGGTGGGGATGGGAACCGGACTTCTGGTCAGCAGAGGAAAAAAGATGCCGTACTAGGAGGAGACTATGGTGGGGGAATCGGATGCCTGGTCGGCTCCAGAATTGAATTGGGGGGGGGTGGGCTTCCAGTTACGACCTTTGTGGCTCTTTTGAGTGTCTAACTTTGCTGACCCCTGGCATAGGTAGTCTTAATGCTTAAGAGCAACATTCCCTATATCTCTGCTCTTAAAAAAGGGTTCTCTGTGAAAGAATTGCAGTCCATTTTTATAGCATCCAGAGTAAGTTTTCCACCCAAAAAACCTGGATTTCTTCGAAAAGAAGTTATAGGAAAAATAGGCAATGAACTGAGTTCAGATCCAGAGCTGTCTTCCTCAGAAGTCATAATGGCCGGTGTGATGGTAGGCAGGTAATCTACTGTGGCATCCTCGAGTGGATTAACCAAGCACTCAGAAAATACTTGGCTTTCATTTGGATCTTCAGGTATAAGTTTCTTGTACAAAGATGGCAACTGATAGCTACCAGTACTATTTGTTATATTGGTAGTCAAAGAATTGCAGTTGTTTGTTCTCGTAGATAGTGCTTCTGTCTTGCATATATTTTTGTATATGTGCCCATCCATAAAAGTGAAGCCCTGTCTTTCAATTAAGGTTTCCTTTATTTGTAGAGTTTCGGGGTCTTTAGATCTGACTGGGTGGCTTAAAAACACTGTAGAGTTGGAACTTGATTCATCCTTAAGGTAGAAATTGAGAGAAAATGTGAGTTTGATAATAATATAATATACCTCTCTTTAAATGCAAGCATTTTTGCACAAATGTCACTTTTATATAACTGCTAGGCACAATTTGACATTCGTAAATCCTTGTATAAAGTGGGTTTTTTCACCACAAATGTTTAACAGATTCTGAGGTTTGTACGAGAATGTCACATCAATAAACTTGACACGTGTTTTTCCTCTGAGAGAAACTACTTTCAAGAAGAGGAAATTTTAGAAAACTGAAGCTAAATTACTTATATTTATTCTTTTTTAACTGCAAATTTAAGGAAGATCTTTTTCTATTCAGAGAGAAAAGTCAATCAACTGGGTTGGAGTTATCAAGTAAGTTGGTCTACCTTTGTAGATGTGAATTCTTTTGCCCATGTAGAGTTGGCTGGATCTGGATACCAACCAAATACCAGAGCAGAAAAGAGAGAGAAAATCCTAGTGAGAAAAAAAATAAAACAATGCGGCCTTTAGTTTTAAGTGATAATGCCACAATTGTGGGATGTGAAAATATCTCTAGAAATTATTAAACTACGCAGAGCTATATGAGAGTCCTCGGGCATGAGTACTATACATATAGTCCTCAACTTACAAACACAATTGAGCCCAACATTGTGTTGTTAAGAGAAATTTGTTAAGTTTGTTTGTTTGTTTTGTTTATTGGATTTATATGCAAAGTGAGTCTTGCCCCCATTTTATGACTTTTCTTACCACATTTGTTAAGTGAATCACTGCAGTTGATAAGTTAGTTTAAGTGAATCTGGTCTGTTTTTTGGCTGTTTTCAAGACCATTTTCAGGGCCATTTTCAGGCTGGTTTTGGCCCGCAAAACAGCTGGAAAACAGCCCAGAAAACGAGTAGGGGCAGGGCCAGCCAGTGGTGGGATTTGCCGGTTTGCTGAACTGTGCAGAATCTTAACTACCGGTTCGCCCAAACCGGTGCGAACTGGCAGCAGCCCACCTCTGTATAGAGTCTCCCCTTTGACCTGAAGTTGGATTAAAAGACCTCCAAGATCCCTTCCAAATCTGTTATTCTGTTTGTTCGCCATCTTTTTTTATAAAAATGCAATAAAGGGGGGTATAAATGAATAAATAAATGAAAGAATCATTACTTTTCTCTCTTTTCCAAAACAGGTTTTAGAAGGTGGTGGCTCTATAAGCATTTGATGGGCACCCTTCTCCACATATCTCAATATATGTATGTTTGCCTAAGCTCTTTCTGGTTGGGTTTTGGGCTCTTAGTGGAGTAGTAGACATACAATAAAGGGGTTGCTAAGATGAAAGGAAGAAGCAACGAAAAAGGCAGATAATATTAGAGCATCCATGTTTAAAACAGGGTCTTTTTGTAGGCTGCCCCTTTTGCTTCCAAAAATGAAATATTATACTCATGGAACCCTATCAGGCAGTGACGTGCGGTGAGGTTTATGGCTGGTGAGGCGAGCGGGCAAAAGCTGCCCTATGTCTGCCAGCGGGGGGGGGGGGGCTTCGGGAGAGGGCTTTCCGAAACCCCCAGCGAAGAACAAAGCCCCAGTGCCAGCCTGGTGGCTCCCTACTGGACTCCCATCTATGAGCCGACGCTGATCCACCCAGCCTTCTCACACCCCCTGGCTGCTGCAGCTGTCCCACGGCATCAATCCACAGCCTCAGGCTGAACCGCTGCCTGCCCGAAGCCCCGGCACGGCTTTCCAAAAGCCCTGGCGAAGCCCCGAAGCTTCTCACCACCGCCGCACTCCACCGCCTCGCCCCCCCACCTCCTCGGATGAACAATCCTCCGCTTTCTTCAGCTCGGATGGAGCTGGGACACCCAAGCTGCTGGCGGCTGAGTGGCCATGATCCCCCCTCCTCAGCCAGCCAGCCCACCCAGCTCATTCCTCCCCCGGTGCAGCGAACTCCAGCGGGCTGGACGTGGGTGCGAGGGGCCTGGCAAAAGAAAGAAAGCGCCAGCCCGCCAGCAGAGGCAGGTAAAGGACCCGCCTCTGCTGGTGGGCTGCCCCTCTCTTCTCAAACAAGCTGCCCTCCCTGCCTCTCCCTCTTTCCTCTCTTCACAAACAAACTCTCAAATTGAGAGTTTGTTTGAGTGAAGTAAACAAACACACACACACACAAATTACTTACAATTTACAATAATTTTGAATTCCTCTTCCCTCCCTCCGACCCACATACTTTTTCCAGCTGTGTCACAGAGGATTTCAACTCTGCTCTTGTCTGCCATGATGAAAATGTAAAAAC